AAAAAAAAAAAAAAAGAAAGAAAAGAAAGGGAGAAAGGAAGGAGAAAGAAAGAAGACCTTATTGATTCTGGGCATCTGAAGGCAACACTGGGTTTTGCATTCCAGCTGGCAACGCTAAGCAGACTTAAGCTTTTGTTTTCCCCTCTGACTTTGGAGTTTGTGCTGACTTGGTAACCATTGTCTGATTAACACAGAACTCCAGTAAAGGGCCTCCATTATCTTGAAAGGGGGTGTTAGAAGCCTCTGGAGGCTGCTTGCCCCATCTCTTACTCTCTGTTCTCCTGTTTTCTAGGACTGCATTGACGTAGGCTGGTGGGAAGGAGAGCTGAACGGCAGACGAGGCGTGTTCCCCGATAACTTCGTAAAGTTACTTCCACCGGACTTTGAAAAGGAGGGGAATGTAAGTCTCCCTGGCTTTGATTTCAGTGCCCCCCATGCTGGCAGAATTGTGGCTCCCATGATGGGACTTGGGATGGGGGAAGTTTGGTATAACGTTGAAGAGCACTGGCATTTGAACATTCAGCAGACCCACATTCTGAGCCCTCAGTTGCCATATACTCTGTAACAAGTTTCATCGTAGGACGCATCTGTTAGCTGGCAATGGTGATCTCTACCCTGGGGTTGTTGCATACATAAACAAGATAGTACATGTAAAACACTCAGTGCAGCACTGGCACATTTCAGCACCTAAATAAACTGTAAGAACCTTGGGTGCTCTTTTTGGTAAGTGAACTGCCTGCATCCCACATAGCATGATCCTTGGGGGTGGTAAAGTAGCCAGTATTGTGGAAGTGCCTGAAAAGCACATTGTAAGGCTGAGGATGCAGGGTAAGGCCTGCTAATTTTTTTTTCTTTTATTTGGGTCGTTTATTTTCCTTCTAGTCCTGGGTTCAGTACATAGATGTCTTCTCTTCACCCTTTGGGTTGACAGTTTTCTCCAGGTTGCTGCTTATGATAAAGCTCAGCATAGAAGGCACTCAGGTCCAGCACCATGGCCCTGAGCTCCCCATAGGCTGCCTCATCTCGCTCTTGCACCAAGGCCCGGCAATCCATCACATGAGTCTCCTTGGAGGCCTTGGCCACAGCATCCCCACGTTCTGAGAAGTACTTGGAAATGGTTGTCTGGAAAGCTTCCACTTTGGTCTTGACGGCATTTACCCTCTCCAGTACCATCTCCTGGATTGCTACCCCAAAATCATTTCCATCTTCAATCTTGGAGATCAGGTGCTGGATCCATGTGATTACCAGAATGCATTTCTCTTTGAGAGTCCAGACTTCTGGCTTAACCAGGGCGAGCAGAGACAGGACCTTTTCATTCCCAGGGAGCAATCCACACTTAGGGACTTCCTTCTTCTCCTGCGTATCTGTTTCCATCTCATCATCCTTGGGTGGAGGATCTGGGATGGGGATGTCCAGTGTGGCTCAGAGGGAAGTCAGGTCAGCCACATTGAGGGAGTCCTCTTGCAAGAGCTGATTCAGGTATATGATTTTCTGTGGCAAGAATCTGTAGAGGAATTCCTCAACCTCCTGGAAAAGATTCTGCCTGAAGACCTCCACCTGTTTGTGGGCCTCCCTGCTCAGGCGCACCCCACACGGCTTGGTCATGCTGCTTCAAGTTGCTAGATCTCTTTTTTTTTTAAAAAAAAAAAACACATAGTCTCACTCTGTCACTCAGGCTGGAGTGTAATGGTGTGATCTCGGCTCACTGCAACCTTCGCCTCCCAGGTTCAAGCTATTCTCCTGCCTCAGCCTCCTGGGTAGCTGGGATTACAGGCATGTGCCACCATGCCCAGCTAATTTTTGTATTTTTAGTAGAGACGGGGTTTTACCATGTTGGTTAGGCTGTTCTCGAATTCCTGACCTTGTGATCCACCCACCTCAGCCTCCCAAAGTGCTGGGATTACAGATGTGAGCCACTGTGCTGGGCTGAGGCCTGCTGATCTTTCTATACTACACCTACACGTATCCATATATGAGTATATACGCATCTCTCATCCATGGTTTCTCTTTAGTTGTGGGAGCCCATTTGACCATACCATTGTTTAAATCAGCCACTCCATTTGTTTGCCTCACTCCATGTGTATTGTTTCCCTGCTGATGATGTAATAAGAAATGTTAGGAAGTTAGAAGCACTTTCCAGTATAAGAGGGTAGCAATCCCATCTTCAGGGTTCTTTGCCCAAGTTTTCACGTGACCTCTGCCCACCCTTCCCAGCCTTGGTCTACTTTATGCCCATGAGGACTCTGTTACTGGACCGTGCTGAGCCTGATCTTGCCGTGGCACCATTCCAGTAGGGCTGAGGTGTGGGAAGGATAGCTACAATGCTGGTGGATTGGTTGCCAAGGATACTAAAGTAGCATTTAATGGGATTTGTGCTGCTTTGACGAATGGATGTAATTGTTTAAGAAGCTAGATGGTGTTGGCACCTGCCAAGATTATGCCCCATAGACCATTAGGTTGATTTGAAGGCTAAGTTAGCCACACTTCATAAGCTTTTTGATTGCTTTCTTTTTTGTGTTGTTTAAGTGTAGAATGTTCTGTTCCACACCTGTTATTCTCTCTTGGAGTCTGAGTTTGGGTTTTAGAGAATCTGTATTCTGCTTCTTAATGTTTCCTAAATTCTTGATACTTAAAGTGAGATCCATGGATCAGCAATAGCAGCATCACCTGAGAGCTTGTTAGAAATGCTCAGACCCCACCACAGACCTGGTGCATTGGAATCTGTGTTTTAACAGTGTTCACTGGTGATCTGTTTGCATATTACAGTATAGGAAGCACTGGTATAGAAGCAGGTATCTGTCTAAGTGATGACAACCCACCTTCTGGTTTCCTCCCCCATCCTTCATACTTTAGGAGGGAAATAAATTCACACAACAGAGAAGAGCTCATCATTCAATAAGGAAATTTTCCACCAAGCAAAATCACTTGAAATGTTTTTACTGATGACTATAGCAATAGTGGATTTTCATTTGACAAAATCAGTCACTGAGAATAACAGATACTAAACACTTAGTAATGACTGCATAGGAAGTGTTTTGAAATAGTAGGACACAGGAATGAGGTTTGGCAAACATTACATAGAGTACGGTGGTTGTGACCCTAGGCTGTGGCATCAGATAGATCTGGGTTTGAATCCTAGCTCTGTCACTTACTCGTTCTGTAGCCAAAGCCAAGTCACTGAATGTTTCTAAGCCTCTGCATGCATTCTCATCCATAAAATTATATGAATAAGTGTACCTACCTTGTTGAAGTGTTGAGAGAAAATTTACTGGGATGATGCACATAAATTATTAAGCATGGTGCCTGATAGTTAGTAAATGCCTCACACAGATTAATTATTCTAGTCTTTATAATTACTATTTACCATGAAGGTAGGAAGGCTCTAGCTGAAACTGTGAAGCAATGATAGAAGGCTGACTCTGGTTCTTTTTGCTCCAGTTGATCAAATCAACGCAGTTATCTTGGTGTCTTGGCAAGCTTCCCTGGGAATCCAAATGCATCTAAAAACTTTGATAAATGGCCATTAAAAAGAAATTTAGCAACTTAGGAAATATATTGGTAGAGACACGTAAGCACAGAATGACATAATCTTTATGTTATTTCTCATGGTTTTTTCTGGATCTGCTGCCTGACATATATGTTTTATTCTCCTTCATTCACTCATTCAGTATTTATTGAGTCCTTTCTCAGGGCTGGCCACTGTGCTGGTTGATTGAAAGTGAAGCATGCACATGAGCGCTGTCCTTGTGAGCTTAGAGTTAGGCAGTTAGGTCTGGCATTTAGGGCCTTGGAGACTTGCCAAACTCTTCTGAAAGGATACCTGATATAGGCCTCTCCAAGTGAGTGGAGGCAAGGGGGCTGTCCAGCCTACCTGTACTTCCCTTCTTCCCTATCTTTGTGAGGCTAGTAAAAGCTAGGCACATCCTGAAACACTCGGGTACCAAGACCTTCATGATAACTCCTCTCCCTTCAACCAAGGAATCTTAGCAAGCATACCATCCTACTAGACATTTGCCACCTTATTGGTTATAATTGAGGCAGTATGTTTTTTAATTGACAGATAAAATTATTTGTATTTAATGTGTACAACATGATGCTTTGAAGTATATATGCATTGTGGAATGACTGAATCTAGCTAATTACCATATGCATTACCTCACATCATTATCATTTTTGTGGTGATGGCCAGTAAGGTTTTGAAGGCTAGGGTAAAATCTAGATCTTTCTTTTAAAAAATAGGTAAAGCATGCCTTCTAATTCCCAGTCATGTTTTAGGGGGACAGTAAATTCAGTCAGGTGAGAGCTACTCCATAGTGTACTTTTCTAGAAGCTCTGTGTTACATAAGCTATTAAGGGAAGCACTTCCACCAGGAGAGTGAAGTTGTCAGTGATGAGTGGACCGGGCATGGCATGCTCTTTGGGACATGCACACTCCCCATGGGCATCTCTCCAATCCCAGACAAGCAGCCACCATCTCTTTGATAGGTCTTTTAACCTTGTCCCTACGAAGCAGAAAACCCAATTTAAGGGAAACAGTAGTCATACCTGTCAAAGTAATATCTATAGCTAAAAAGTGATTGTATAATGTAACATTTAACTTCTAGAAAATTCAAAATATAGCATCCTTTTCCATCCCCTCTGGCCTATAAAAACCAGCCAAACATGTTCACATTGGTTGTTATACCAGCCTTTATTACTGCACCCAGAGTATTGGTGAGTTGGTGACAATGTGACGAGATGGGGCTGTCATTTGCTGAGTTGAGAATGTAAAGATGATTAGAATCATTAACATGGAGGCACTATGTGAATGACAGAATTTGAAACATTCTGCCACTGGTTTCAGCAGATGTCATCTTGTCTTGCCAGTGACTGGGGTTACAATCATTCACCCAGAAAAGAGGACGATCTCTGATGATTAGGGTAGACAGAAGCAAACGACATTTATTCAACAGCAGGCCTCTTGACTCTGTAGGTATCACCAGAGCGTTCTGATGAGGCTGACATATTTTCTTCTGGGGTATGAATTCAGGTGGTTACTATAAGGCCTTTTAGAATTCCTGGCCATCTTTCTTTCGGAGAATACTTAGTGGATTCTTCCTCACCAGGGTGACAAATGCTTTGGGGTTTTTCCTCAAGATATTCCAGAAGAGCATCTGTTGCTCCCTTGGTGCATGTTTTAGAGCAATTATGTAAGCTATTTATAAGAGAACCTAGATTCAATGGCTGTTTATTTTAGGCCTTGACAGTAAAATTGAATACCAGAACAGAAAGATTAAATACTCTGAGAGCTCTAATGAAGCAATGTGTATGCTGTATCATTGTTACAGAAGGCTAATGGGGAACTTAGACTCTCAAAAACTGCAGAAACAACTGCTCATTGTCATTAACAAAAGAACAAAA